GTCAATTCAACCCGCTTTACTCGGTTATTTTGTACATGTTGTATGAAGTGCATACCTGGTAATACTCACTTTACATAGATCTTCAGAGTTGAGGAAATAAAGTTTTTGAAGTAAAAGGTGTTGGTAAACAATTGAGTAAATATCAGCATGCATTCACTTAAAGGCACGGCCCGGGACCACATATGGGGACTGAGGGATCTAAAATACTATTTGGAACGCAGGAAATTACTCATTAAGAAAGAAAAAGCGAAGAAAAATAGTGGGGAATGCCCTTTATGGGGCTCTTTTCCAAACCGGGGCTGGACGAGCAAAGAACGACGAAGGGGCGGGGTCCGGACGAGTTTTTCGCGCGCTGCTGAAATGGTGGCCGGTTGCCAACAGCTGATCGATAGCGTTGGCGTTATTTGTGTTACAAGAATCGGAGTACCTTCTCGTACTTGGCTTCAATAAGAGCGGATTCGAAAGCAGATAAGAATGAACAACCTTTTTCGGGGACATGTAAGCACGAACGAATACAACAATTAACAAACCGAAAATGATCAGATGACATGAAGCCAGCCTCACATTCAACAGTACCAGTTATGGTTGGATTTGATCCGTAGCCGCAATTGAACAAGGAATTGTCCTCTAGAACCTGCAAAAACAGCTGAAAATAATGCGTAATATGATATGAAGGGGTTCTCGCTAAAAAACGTCAATCCCGTGGTCGAGGTGCGAAATCTGTTTGTATGTATAAACCCGATGATCCGAGCAACGAAGTCTGGATCAAATTTGGCAAAAAAGGTCGTGGCGCAAACGCCTCAAAGAGAAGAGTAGCTGCAATGGTATAGCTCCGGATAACACTAGCTGCACTTTCTCACATACTGCTGTCAAATGACGCTGGGATAAAAAACAAATGTCATATCCGTGATTAGAGGGCTGTACAAGAGAAATGGTACAAGAGAAACCGTACAAGAGAAATGGTACACATAGAAGAAAGAAAGGAAGATAAAAAATGGAATCCTTTGACAGCTGATGAGATATTGATCGCATGGAGCACAACGAAGTTCCAAGCGACAAATGCGCGGGATTTCGCCGACGCCACCTTCGAGTCGTCACAACGGACATGGGCCTCGTCTTGGGCGTAAGGGGGCGCAATGGGCCTAAATGGCAGGGTTCCCCGCGAAATCCTGCAGTTTTTGAGTTTTTAGGTGTGCCACAGCCCCTACAATCGCCTGAGGGATCATTTGGCACATTTTAAAGCCTATGGCCTTAGTTTATCGCGGAAAGTGCCTTTAATTGAAAACAGTTTCCGCGATCAAGTGGTCTAAGAATGCCTCCGGCATATTACATTGCGTTCCGCATTCGCGAGCATATTTTTTTTTTGTTTTTTATTTTTGTGTACCTTTCTCGTCAGCTCGAAACGCGAGAATAAAGGAAGCTTAAAGACGCATGATTATTGCAACAATTGCAGTCACAATTGTTTTCACTCTCCAAGACACCTGCTTACAAGCGGAATTGCTTGTGTACCTAGCGTTGCCTGGGGCGTCGTAGGGTGATTTTCTGTGCTCTTGCCGGTGATTACACGTGAGTACCGCTAAAATCGTCCAAGGCGCCCACTGCTAGCGAGCTCTCTGTTCAGAGTATTCCCAAGGTTTTTTTTCGCTTCTTTCTCTACTGGGGAGTCACTTATGGGCTGCTGCTTCATGACTGAATACTCACTAGCCCGTAAGGCTTGTTCGCTGGAATCGTCTTTAAATTGTCTTCAAAGACAGTTGAGATAAATCCCTAAAAACGAGTAGGATTGGTACGAGCGGCAGATTTCCGCGAACCTGAATAGGCGCTGCACAGCGGTTTTCCGAGGGAGATACCTATAAGGGTCCTATCAAGCTACAAGCATTTCGACCGCAAACGAGTTAAAACATAAAGCGAAGGGATTAGTATGAAGCGGCTGCGGTGCTGAATGGATATATATGAGTACATACAGGCAGCCGTACCTGCCGGAGCGGTTATTTGCAATACGCCTACGGGAAACTCGTCCGAAATTGCTTTTCAAGAACGAAGGCTTTTTCGCAGTTTTTGACCGTTTCACTTCGTTTTTTCGCCATTTTCCACTAGATAGCGCCCTGCTAGCATTTTAGGCTGAGTACCAAATTATCGTGCCAACTGCCTTCTAAGACAGCCCCACAGTAATCAGTTCGTGGAACACGGCGATCTTGCGCTGCGCCTTTTCTTAGCAGCTGAGGCGGTGCGGTGTTTCGAGCAAGACTCGTACCGTTGGGATTCGCAGTAGAAGGAGTTATTTGGTCACTGGAGCGAGGGAAGGGCGTATTTACCTCAGAAGAACGTTTTGGGTTGTTGACGTGTCTCGGTTTTTCCCGTTCCATGCGTTATATACCCCCCCCCCACGCTGTCGTCCCTTTAGGACAACACGGAAATTTTCGGGAAAGAATTGATCCGTCTGCGATCAGTAGTTGGTCATTAATTTACTATCACACATCATTTTTGCATAAAATATAGTTTGAGAAAAAGTGTTTGCTGGCGGAATTGGACCACGACTGCTCTTGTGAGCCCAGCGACGGCAGACGGACAAGAAAATCGTAATTTGCCGCGTCTCGCGCGCGGCACACCGCCCGGCAATGAGCGCGAGGAATGTGGGCGTCCGGAGCCATACACGCGGGAAATTCGAAATTATGCGTCCAGTTACTCCGTTGAAGCGGACATCGCCACTTTTTTATTCTTTCCATATTTCTGCATATATTTCACGTGATTTTGACTACTTCCTACACCTTAGTATCCACTAGGAGGTAAAGGCATGAAGAACCTTAGTCAGATCCGCTAACAAAACTTGGATATACTGCTTGTGACCAGTACCTAACACATCAACCTTCATAAAATGTAGTTTGGCAGAAATTATCCGCTCGTCGAGATCGAACCACGACCGTTCCTGTGCGCACAGCGATACCTTGCGCTGCGCCATCCGTTTACTGTGCATCCACGGTTTCGAGTGATGTGACGAACGTGCCACACACTCGTGTGCGGGTAATGAACCACAGAATTTGTTTAGGACAACCACCGTTGGTGGTCCGACGGCCGTAAAAGGTGGCTTATTGAAAAATTTCAGCGATTGGCTTACAATGTCATGCTCATCGCAATAAGCAAACGAAGTGCCACAATGTCTTGCAATCGAAATGGTGGCATTTGGATGCGACCCCTTGGATCGTGGGTTTCTATGGTCCCAAGGGTGGGACCAAGGATTCGTTGGGACCGCAGTGGGACCTTTGGTTCCTCCACGAGGACTGCCGGTACCCACGACCCAAAGGGTCACAACCAAACTCACACTTTGTTTGATTCGTATTGTTCGCTGGATCAAAAACTTGGATAGGCTGTTCTGTCACCAACAATTATTCATTAATTGTCTACCTCACATGATTTTTGCATAAAATGTAGTTTGACAAAAAGGGTTTGCTTCAGTGGGATCGAACCACGACCGCTCCTGTGAACACAGGGGCGCTTTGCGATGCGCTTTTCGTTAACCAGGGTAGAATAAGATGCACGTGCCATACTACCGTCGGCGATGTCGATACTTATGGTGAGTGCGCGTTAAGCGGGCCACTGCCACAACATCACCCCCGTACCACAAATAATGGGGAAACCTTTCCAGCCCGCCCCAGACGATTCCTCCCGCCCTCGTATTTATTCATTACACGACTGTGCTCGTCTACAAATTTGCAAACAACAGCCTTATAACGTGGTTTTGTATTAAATGGCATATCAGCATTTCCAGCTAGAAGTAAGACAAATAAAAGCGGAAATATGAGGGATGAGACATGACGAATTAGCGATGCGAAGAGTACAGCACACCGAAAAACCGGGGGTCTTATAAGAGGTCATTGCATTCGCTGACTCGAACAAGTATTTAAATAACTTCTGAATGCTTTGCAAGGTACTGGCATAAGTCGCCTTTTACATTATTCTTGGTACAATGGAGCTGTTTATGAAATAGGCGGGTGTTAGTGTGAAAAAGACGGCAGCAGTCCAACTTGCCGTGACCCACATCTAGCTTTAGCTTACCGCCTCTTGTCGTTGAGGTTCTCCGAGTCCAAATCTGCTTTGAGCCTTGGCATATTTCACCACTGACAAGTGGTGAAATATGCCAAGGCACAGAGCAGATTTCTTGATAGGGCACATATCATCGTTGGGGTTTTCCCGAAGGGGGTCGTTGCTTCTCGAAAATTCTTTTGACGCGAATTTTTCTTGTTTTACGGACGCTATGAAGAGGAGTGTATTTGCCTCTGCAGTACTGGGAAAAATTTAAGGGAGACGGGCAAGAGAATCGTGATTCGCCGCTCCGCCGCGCGCGGCAGTAGGCCCGGCGTAGCGGCGAATTGATTGTTTTGGGCGAATTTTCTTAACTCGT